TGGCACCTCGCTGGGGCTCACGGATGAGCAGGAGACAGAGAGGGGCCCGGGATGGAGGCAGAGGTGTTTTGGAGAGAGGAAGGCAGGCGGGCAGCGTGGCCAGGTCTGGCACAGGAGCCCAGCCCGTGGGGAGCAGGACGGGCAGAAACCAGCCCATGGAAGCTGGTCCCACCGCAGGTGAACCCCAGCTCGACCCTCTGCATCCCCTGAGCTCCTCTGCTGCCTTTGCCCCTGCCAGAGCTGGACAGCAGCGGGGCTGCCCCCCATCTGTGGGACGGGGACCCCAAAATGGCCATCACCTTCTCGGGCTCCCCTGCACTGCCAGCACCCAGCCAGGCCCTGGGGAGGGCAGTGAAGCCACCGACATGTCCTTGGCTGCTGGTGTCTTACTTTTGTCCTTGTAGAACAGCAATGGTAACCACGGGAGGCTGGTTTAGTTTTGGGATGGTTAGTGCATCTCTGCAGTGTACAGCTGAGACTTAGGTTTTTTTCCTTTAAAAACAATGAATGTGTGTTTGTAATTTGTAAAGGTTAAAAAAAAAAAAAAAAAAAAAAAAGAAAAAAATGTGCCAAAAATGTACTAAGCATTTCATTTCCCTTCATATATGTCTGTTTTTATAAGAACAATGTGAAAATTGCTGGGATTAAATATTTTTGAACATGATAAAGGACTGCCGTGGGAAGCTCTAGCGTTCAGTATCACCTCCATACAAATGGTTCTGTATTCTTAACTGGCTGAAATACGTTTGCGGAGACTTGGACTGCAGGCAGGCCCGTGAAGTGGTCCTGCTGCACAGGCACGGGGGCACAGCCGTGCCAGGGGAGGTGAGTGCTGGGTACGTCGCACGCTCCACCGCAGGATGGTGGCCCGATGCCTCTGGCTTGGCTCTGAGAGCAGTTTCCAGGGGCCACATCCTGCCCTGGTGCAACCCCACAGTGTCCCCTTGCTCCCATGGGATGGAGGCGGCCGAGCCCTGCTGGGACACAGAGTGAGCTGGCACAGCCCTGGGGACACCTCTCCTCTGCCCCACGGGAGCCAGCGCCGGCTCCCCTGCACCCTCCCAAACCCAGCCTCACCCCTTCCTCAGCATCGCCCGTGCCAGCCCAGCCACAGCGATGCCTCGTGGGGTGGGTGGGGGTCTGGGTCCTGCCCCAAGGCACTGGGACCCCGCCGGAGACCCATGCCCATGTCACTGAGGCTGTGCAGAAGGTTTGGGAGAGCCCTGCTAGCCCAGCCCCGCAGGGCAGGGGGCCTTTGGGGACCCATCCCACCCTGATGACCCATGGCTGTCACCCAGTATCTCCCATGGGACACAGGCTGGCTGGGCAGGGCATCTCCCCAAAACCACAGTGAGAATATGGGGGGT